CGGGGAGGGGGGGGGGGGGGGGGGGGGCCAGTACCACATAGGCCTTTAGCTGCAGGGTTTCTGTTAAGTCAAAAAACAGATGATGGCTGCCTTGCCTTCAGAGGAGCAGCAGACGGTTAGAAGAGGTTAAATCAAAATAATTCCACCAAAGACTCTGTCAGAGGTTTTCAGCGGAAGCTTTCGCTTAATGTGCGCTATCCAAACATGAACTCAAAATATCATTAAGTGTTAATGTCGTCTATCTCATAATGTATGCGTAGTTCTTGTGATTAATGGTTTAAGTGGTTTTAAAAACTTTTTAAGGGTTGGTAAAGAAAAGCGATACACTTTGAAAGGAAGGGTAGTTAAAAGAAATGCTTTCACAGTTTTATGTCTTTCTGCATATTGAATGTTTTAAATTAAAATATATGTATTTTCTCTTCCTTCCCTTTCTTTGTTGTAACTACAGGGCAGAGTCTTGGCTATGGCTTCGTCAACTACATTGACCCAAAAGATGCAGAGAAAGCCATCAACACGTTAAATGGACTCAGACTTCAGACCAAAACTATCAAGGTACGTGACCACACTAGCAGAAACTGTAAACTTGAATAAGCATTTGCCATAAACAGCTTTGCTATAACAGAAATAAATTAAAAATTAAAAAATACATTTAAAATTGTGAAAATATTTCACAATACTAGTTTTACTGTATTTCTGGTATTTGTGATCAAATAATTTTTTTATTAAAATAAAAACAATCAAAATTGACTGACCCCATAATTTTGAACAGAAATCTGATACATTTTCATTTGTATTCCATGATCATATATAAACCTTTTAATAATTACACTACTGTTCAACATTTTGGGATTGGTAAGATTTAATGTGCGTGTGTGTGTGTGTGTGTGTGTGTGTGTGTGTGTGTGTATATATATTTATATAAATATGTAATTATTAATTTACTTTTTTTTTAATTAACAACAAATTATGCATATTATTATACATTATTAATATGATGTTTGAGTATTATTAATATTCATAATTTGGACCCTGTGCATTAAATGCATTCATTATCCTACTATTAATAGGATTGTTATTTACAAATGTATTATTAGCACACACACACACACACACACACACACACACAGTACAGTATCTAAAGTAAATAATAATAATATAAAGAAGATATAATGTGTGTGTGTGTGTGTGTGTGTGTGTGTGTGTGTGTGTGTGTGAATACATATATATATACACACTAATATATACACACTATAGTATAATACTATAATACATACTATAATAATAATATTTATTGAATCATTTTTTTTAAATAGTTTTATAAAAAATCATTTTAATTACTTATTTTTTATTATTTAATTTAAGTGTGTACGAATTGCATAACATTTTAATTAAATGAATTAATGTGAATTAATTAAATGATATGCCATTTAAATAATTGAATGCAATTAACAGATTTTTTAAATTACATTATTTTTGTATGATTACTCGCAGTAAATTAACGTAAAAACCAAGAACAGCTGTATTGTGGTGCATTTGTATGCATACCTCAGTGTGTACGTTGGGATCAGCGTTCAGGTTCATGTTGATAGGTTACTGCCTGCCTGCTGTTTACCAAACACTTTTCAGCCAAAGCAACCCATATTACGCTAATTGCAGTAGCGCTTCCCCCCTGGAGCCAGCGCCTCTCGCTCAAGGGCACAGCATTGAGAAGGTTCTCTCAGTGCCTCTCCAGTTAACAGGTCACCCGTACCTGGAATTGAACCTATTTAAACATAACAGATAACAGACGGTAACAGAGCAACATCTCATTTAGGTGGAAGCGTCAATTCAGCGAATGTTTCCTGTCACCGTTTGTGCCAGTGGAGCTGCAGTGATTAGTACATGTGGCGTACATGGCTCGTGCTGGGCTGAGGCGCGGCAGCACAAAGAGAGAGGAGGGCAAATCTGACTCATTAGGATGTAGAAGGAAACAGGAAAGCAACCGAAGGAAGGAAAGGGAAAAATAGTGTAATTGATATGTAAATGAATCTCCAGATGTCAAATCATGAAGTCACACAAAAAGAGGGAAATAGCATGTATAATGAAATGTGGACATGCTAAATAGATGACTAAAATGTGTCTGGTTTTCACTGTGGAAATTTTGATCTGTTCTATACTGTCATGCTCTGCTATATTTTATTCCATTCTATTCTGTTCAGACACATTGGTATTTTGTCATATTTTGTTCTATTATGTTTCAATTTTCAATTCAATTTTATTTGGATATATTTTATTCTGATCTAATTTCGTATTATTCTTATCTGCCATTTTCAGTTTTTTTTTGTCATTCTGATGTTCTATTCGATTCTATTTTATTGTCATTTTATTTTATTTGGTTCTGATGTGTCATTTTATATTCCATTCTATTTGGTTTTGTTATATTTTATTAATGTTCTGTTTTATTCTCTTTTGTCATTCTATCATTCAGTATTCTGATCTGTCGTTTTGTTTTCTATTCTATTTTATTCTATTCAGTTTTGTTATATCAACATTCGGTTTTATTCCATCTCTATTGTCATTCTATTCTTTTCAGTATTCTGATCTGTCATTTTGTATTCTATTCTATTCTGTTTTATGCTTTAGCAATGTTCTGTTTTATTCCAGCTCTATTGTCATTCTATTCTTTTCAGTATTCTGATCTGTCATTTTCTATTCTATTCTGCTTTATGCTTTAGCAATGTTCTGTTTTATTCCATCTCTTTTGTAATTATATTCTGTTCAGTATTCTGATCTGTCATTTTCTCCTTTTCTTTTCTGTTTTATTATATTTTATTCTCTATTGTAATTCTATTCTGTTCAGTATTCTATTCTATTCTGTTTTATTACATTTTATTCCCTATTATCATTCTGATCTGTCATTTTCTATTCTATTGTTTTGTTTTATTCAATTTTATTCTCTTTTGTCATTCTATTCTGTTGTCATTTTTGTTCTGATCTGGCATTTTCTATTCAATTCTATTTTGTGTGTGTGTGTGTGTGTGTGTGTGTGTGTGTGTGTGTGTTTTATCTCTGTTATGTTTTTTTTATTCTTTGCTGTCTATTTTATTCTCATAGCTGTTTTGATATTCTATTCAATTCCATTTTATTCTCTTCTGAGTTATGTTCTATTCTGATCTGGTCTGATTTCCTCTATTCATTTCTAATGTACTCATTTCTGTTCTATTATTACATTAAATCATGCAATGAAATAGATCCGCCACAATCTGATGGCTTCCATTTTCCTCAGCAGCATCTGTGGTAAATTTAGAAGCAGCAGCTGGTTTTAACAGTAAATTCTGACTGCTGCTCAAGGCATAATCTGGCTGTGTGTGTGTTTTCATCTGGCCTATAATCCCAGACCTCTCACTTACATCCACCCTAATCTAATCAGACTGGATTTCGCCTGCTTATGAAAACACGGCTCAGTGTGCGCGGCTCAGTACCTCTTAACATAACAGCAAAAGAATGTGTGTGTTTGTGTGTGGGAGCAAGAGAAAGAAAAAGAGAGACACGAGAAAGAAAAGACTTGTCAGGACTGTTTTTGAAAGAGCACAGCACAATGCTCACAAACATGGGCGTTTTCCAGAGTGGCAGTGTGTATGTGTTGGCCGGCAGTGTTTCTAGTACTGGTTTCAGCATCAGCTAAGAATCCATCAGAGACAGAATGACTCACTCTGTGTGTATTTGCCGATCATCACAGCTTCCTGCCATGCGGCACTTCTCTCAGTGACAAAACACACTTCTAGGGAGGCAGCGATACACATACATAAACACACTGTTAAAACACTGCACTTATCAGCCAAACACACCTCAGGTTTTTGTTCCCATCCTAGGGCTACAGCCAAATGACTTCTGAGCTGGTTCTTTTTACCATAGCACAATCCTGAAAAATACAACAAAAAAAAAAAAACATTTTAAATTTGGCTGTAGTTCATGGCTACTTTGTACTGTGAATCACTCAAAAACTCCTTCTAACAAACCATTTATTCAATCCATCACAGCAGTTACTGAATTAACATCTGACTCACTGAACTGCACGTCATCATAGCTGTCATTCATCTCTGACTCGAAATAAACCAACATGTTATGTGAACCACATTAGGAAATGAGAATCGTGAGACTTAAGTATGATTATTTATATTTGACATTGCACATTCACAATTTTATATTGATGTTGCCACCATTTTATAAGAGCATTATGAATTTTACATTAATGTAAAAAAAAAAAAATTACTTTTATTATTATGATGATTATTATTTTTGTTATTATAGACTGGTATTACATTTAGAGTCAAGGTATTATGATTTGAAATCTGAAACACTCAAGTGAGCATACAGCGGTTTGGCCCGAGGGCACAATTTAGTGTAACACAAATTTTCATGCTGTCTGTTGAGGAGTTGTCATAACCTGCAGGAATGATGTTGCTGAGCATACTTCTTCTAACCATGTTCAATTTCCTTCTCCGCCACACACTCCAACAAATGCAGACTTACAGGTAATGAAGCAAGATGACTTAGCGTGCCTACGTACACCAACAAAACGCATGCTACTGTGCACTGTGAGGTTCACACGCACATCTCATGCATGATTGATTTTTTGCTTGCACACACATATACATGAATACTGGAATCGACACAACCAAAGATGCTCCCGTTTCACACACTGTCTAAACCAAGTGCAAAGCACCAAGAAATTGTCTGTCCACAATGAAAGCAAAAATACAATGTGGAGAAGAATTTTGGACCAATTTTGCACTAGACAGGAGCTACCAAGTGTTACCAGTAGTAATAATTTTAGAGTGGGGGGTTTAAAAAATGAGATACAACATCAAGCCAGTTTTACAGTTTCATCTTTGGAGATGTCAAAACTGAAATATCATCAATTTAACATCAAGATACTAAAAAAATAAAAGATCAAGATACTGTCAATAGTGCACTGATTAGATGTTCCTTTACATTATTGTCACTCTCCTTAAATCACAGTTATTTGTTTGACGTTTGTTCTTTTTGCTTAGTTCACGAGTCACATTTTATGCGATAATTTCATTCTTAAACCGAACAGAATACACAAACTCAAATGTAAATTTGCTTTAGTGGGTTTGATGCTTTAAGATTTAGCCCCACATGTTCTCTGACTTTTCCACCTACTTATTACTCTCGGTGTTCTACGTATAGATCTTTTAGATTTTTCTTTTTTTTTTTACCTTTATGAAATCAGCATTCACTAGCAATTTATGACATATCAGAAATGTCATACATAATTTTTTAGCCGATTATGCTTGGTTGAGTGGGCTGAAAGTCACTGGCCCCTGAGCAATGAAATACAGAAATAGCAACCAAGCAACAGTCAAAATGTGCTGTTGTTTCTTGTGGCCGCAGCTGGTAAGGACAAAAACTGTGATTTACACGGAAGAGCTTTGATTGCTTATCGCTTCATTGCGCCGTGCCTGGTCGGGACACGTTGTCACTCCAATCCGTGTCTTTTGTTAATCATCTAGATCTTTTAATCTTCATATTTCCTCTCTCTTCATCCATCCGTCCATCTCAGCGTGGGTTAGAGAAGCCAATGTCTTTATCTCTTTCGTGTGATCTCTCTTTTACACCTCTCACGCTCTCGGCCCTCCTTGCTCAATCTCCTTTCTCTTGCACTCCATGAAACCTCTTATTCAGACCAGCACCAGCCCTCTCAAAAGATGCTCTCCTGCTGTAATACGGCAGAAAAGAGATGAAATTCTCTGTCTTATAACTTCTAATAAGTGTGTTCCAAGGTCATCCTTCTCATAAAGCCTCCATCGTAACCCCACCCCCCATCGAGCCGGGATGAAGACAGACCATCTAATAGCAACAGACAGCTGCGTCTAAGAGTGGATGAACAAAAAGAAGGAGAGGGTAATTATCCGAAGTGCAGTTCCATGCTCTTTTCAGCCGAGCAAGAAAAACAGCGTTTATGAGGGCCCTCCTGCTAAAATAATATGATGATGTATATGTTTACAAGAGGCTGTTTAGACGAAAAAAAGGAAGTGAGAAAAGACGTCTTTGGTGGTTCGCGATGAGTTTATATTCTTTCGCAAAACGCCGGTGTCAGATTCAGGGTCTCTCAAGCACATCAGCTAATGCAGGAAGTCCATGAAAACAGATCAACAAAGCTGCATCTCACCAGCTGAAAAATAAAAAAAGATTTGAGAGTGAGAGTTTTACTCCAGCCGCAACCTCCACATGCTTATCATTTTGTTACACACACACTTCTCCATGACACTTCTCCGTTTCTCAGCAAAACTCCGGCTTTGCCTTCCTATCGAGGTGTGATGGGAGAAATCCCACTGGGGGCGAGAAGAGCGTAGCCTTGTGCTGTGAGTTACGTGTATACACACACATACACACACAGACACACACACACACACACACACACACACACACAAACTGCTCACAGCAGACAGGGTGTTGATAGATCTGACATCTGGAGCTGCTTGACAGGGCAAGAAAAAAGCAAACAGAAAAGAGGAGATGAAAAAGAAAGAAGGGAAGAGAGGAGAGGGAAGAGCCTGCCAGGGTTCCATGCCTTTTGCCTTCTCCATTTAAGTGGATTTGAGGAGATTACGGTGGAGTGTTTAGCATGTTTAGCTCAGCATTTGTAGCAGTGTAACAGCCTGTGATGGCTCTGCTGCCCAAATGTCAGAACTAATGAAAATATGAGATGGAAAGGCTGCTTCAACCATTAATGGGAACAGATTAAATTGATGTAAGCATTAAAAGGGCAGGGAGATAGAAACATCTTCCCATCTTGAATTAAAACTGAATTGCTGTAGTGGGAGAGAGCGAGACAGACAAAAACATGGAATCAACAAGAAAATTCAGAAAATGGATATGTTCGCTCAAAAATAAGAAAACAAATGTTGTCATTCTGTACACTGTACTCAAATTCTGTACTCACCCACATGTCGATTCAAACCCAAAAGGAGTGGAACGCAGAAGGAGACATTTTGAAAAAAGTACTGGTCATTCTTTTTAGTACATATACAATAAATTGGGACTGGAGCTTTGCAGCTTCAAAAAGGACACTAAAGCATCATAAAAGTATCCATATGACTTGTGTGCTATATGTATTTATTATGATTATTAAGCAAAATATTAATTTTCTTTATTATTATTCACATTATAAAAATGCAATTAATAAAGAAACATTACTATTGCAATAATACTCGAATATTGTAAAATAGAAAAATAGTACTTAATGATGATGATGATTTTATTTTATAGAACAATAAAATTACAATACTAATATTTATATCTTTATAACTTACTTTGCCTTTAAATGTTAAATTATAAAGCTTTTATTTTGGTGGAAAAACATTAAGAGACCTAAGTTTCTCTTTTGTTGAAAACATTAATAAAAAAAAATTCTCATTACATTCAAATGCATGCATTTTTTTTTCTCATTGAATTTACACAATTCATGTGGGTCATACTTCAGGTTGCAAAATATTGAAATCTGTATCAATATGGAAGAATCACATAAATTCTGAGTCTTCTAAATACAACAACTTTGTGCCATTAATAAATTGGAATTTAAGTCGTTATTTATTGAAAATCCTGAAGAACTATAGATTTCATGAGAGAAGTAGCGAAAGTTGAATGATGAACAAATCATTCTTTTGAGTTGGACCTTTTAAATTAATCAAATGATCTGCTTAACAAAAACCGAAAAGATCAGGTTCCCACGTCCAGCACTCTATGAGTCAGTCACAGCAGTTAATAGAGTGGAGGGAAAGAATATAAGTGAATAATAACTTAAATTGTGGTCTATTCATCACATGAAACTATTTTTTATGAAATATTTGTTATGAAAGTAGTCATGTGAAAAGAAAATAATATTTCTAATATGAAAGCAGTCATATGGACTATGATATTTTTGGAAGTGAAAAAAGTCTCATGGGTAGACATAAGGGTTAGTTAATCATTTTCATTTTTGGGTGAACTATCCTTTTGAAAATAATTCTCATTTAAGAAAATCCAGGATGAGCCACAGCACTGAAGTTTCCCACAAGGAATACTTAAAAAAAATACCTAATTATATCTCTACAATTGTGTAAAGTTCAGTGACATTATGGTATTAAATTTGCCAACGGCTCTGAGATTTGATTGAGAATGGGTGCAATGGGTGAAAATTGCATCATGTGTGTAAGAAAAGAAAGAGACTGGTATTGGAAGTTGAAAATAAGTAGTGTGTTTTAGAGTGTGACAGACACTGTCCAAGGTGCTGCAGAGTTTGACACGTAGAGTGAGCGCTAGATGGAGGGAGTATAGTGGAATGAGCGCTGTCCAAGGTGCTAGTAAGCACAGTGCGCTGATATTAGAGCGTGTGGGGAATGTGAGGGTGAGAGAACTATAGATGGCTTGGCTCTCACTCTAGGCACAAACAGAAGGTTCCAAAGTGTTATTCAGCACAGATGACAGCCAGCCTTCTCTCTCACACAATCACACACAAGCTCTTCCATCATGTGTGTTTTCTGAAAACAAATTAGCCTTTATCATTTACTGCTGTGTGTTTTAAGTGAGGTTCATGAACCTTATTCTAAAAATGAGTCAATCTGCACAACTGTAGAAAAGAAACTAAAACACTCCAATTATGTGTAATTAAATCATTGCTTGAATATTTTTTTAATTCACTGTCAATACTTGTATTGACATATAACATGGTCAGACATGTGGTTATTGTACCATTGATGCATTTAATAATTTGTTTCTAGACCTGAACTAGGAAAGTATTTAATAGAAAATTAAGTAATGCTGTAAAAAATAAAATAAAAATCATAACACCAACTGCATTTATTAATTGAAGTTAATGTTTATATATATATATATATATATATATATATTCTAATCAATTTTTAACAACTTCAAACTATTTCAAACTGTATAAACATAAATTACAATAATAAAACATATTATTGTAAATAGAAAAACACACATACACACAGTATTGTTCACTGTTCATATTTTGACATTAGCTGAGCATAATAAAGGCTGTAAAGACCTGAACTAGGAAAGTATTTAATAGAAACATATTTGGTTATACTTTACAATAAGGTAATACTGCAAAAAACAAAATAATGATACTATCTGCATATATTCAGTTAATGTTTTACATAAGTTAATGTTTTACATTTAAACTTAAATTATTAAAAACTTGTTTGCAATAATGAACAATACACACTTATAGACACGCATACACAAAATATTTTTCAATGTTATTATAAAAAAATGTATAAATGTATATAAAGTATATTATAAATTATATGAAAAGAAACATTTCAAATAAAATTTAAAAACATTAACCTAGAATAATAAAGCCTGTAAGAAATATGCTATTTCATTGCTACTTCATTTCTAGATTTAATTAATTATTTATACAAATAAATTACTTCTGTTTTACGTTTTTCATTACTTTTGGAGACTTTTCAGAATAGACCGCAATTATGCCTGTAGTTCAAAGGGTTCATGAACTTCAACCATTGTATTTTGAATACCCAATTTCTTGGGTACATTGTTTCTCTTCAGAAACAGGGTTAGAGGTGGTGTACGTTAATACTGAATTTACATTTTCATTCCTCCTTTGAGAAAATTTGCAAAGCTCTTTAGATGTCATGTGTATATCCCTTATCTGTGAATGAGCATGGATCACAGAGAATCCCTCACAGCAAGTTGTTCCTTTTCAAAATATTATAATAAGTCAAAGGGATTCTTCCTTGTTCTTAAGTGGAGGATTTGGGGGCATTATCTTTCTGAAGTCTCTAGCTGCTCCAGGTCAATGCAAGAATACAGACCACCTGCACAGTGTGAGACAGAACAGGTGCGCAGACGACCTCTGGCATCTGAATGCTGCATATTGCCAATGCAAAATGTAGGTTATAAATCGCCTGAACAAATATCCTACAAAAGTCAAAATGAAATTAAATGTTTAACAAGCACATGTGGAGTTCAAGAGAACAGTTTCCAACATTTTGATATCAAATCCTACCACATAAACCACTATAGTTTGATAACTGCAACAAATGCTCAATGTGTTTGTGTGTTTTTTGTCGTACAGGTTTCATATGCACGGCCCAGTTCGGCTTCTATCCGTGACGCTAATCTGTACGTGAGTGGGCTGCCCAAGACCATGACCCAGAAGGAGCTGGAACAGCTCTTCTCTCAGTACGGACGGATAATCACCTCTCGCATTCTCGTCGACCAGGTCACAGGTATCAGTGGGACCGCTTTTCTCTCACCCTGTAGCATGCAAACAAACAAACAAATAAATTCTCTCATTTCGCATAAAATAATCACACAAATCCACAATCTATTCGAAGATTTTACTTTATTGCGGCCTCTTGAATATATTCAGTACAGTTAAAGCCAAAACATAAGGAATTCTGCAACTCTTTGAGTGATTTGTTGGCTCCATATTAAAGTTGGAGGAAGCCAGGCTTAAATGGCATTATCTAGTCTGATTTTGCAAAAAACAGACTAGTGCGATTTAATCATTTCCATGACATTTAAAAATATGATTTTTTTTTGCTTTAGTCAGACTGAAATCGAACTTGTGTATGTAAAGTGTATGTAAACACACTTAATGTGTACTAATACAGGGTTTCTGCAGGTTTTATGGAGATAAATTTAAGACTTTTTAAGACCAATAAATACAATTTAAGGAAATTGAATGGAACACAATACATTATTAATATGGTCTTCAGATGTAAAAGTGTTGTATCAGCAACACTTCAAAGACTAAAAATAGAACTTCCAATAGATCTCCATTATTTTTAATTAATATTACAAAAATTACTGTACCATCTGATCACACTACAAAAAAGTGCAAATTCTGCACATTCTTAAATCAATATACATTTACTAGAGAACCTAAATTATACAAAATAAGGAATCTTGTTTTATGAGAAATTTTTCAAAATTGAGTTTGATAAATTCAAAGGAAAAACAAGCCCTACTGACAGATATTTGTTATTTTTTTAAACATAAACTCGCTTCATTTAGTTCAATTTCTCAGAAAACAAGACTTTATATGTTTTTGTATTGCAAGTAAATGTATCTTGATTTAAGGATATTTTGATATTTTTATTGGAAAACAAAAAATACTGAGGGAGATATATTTTTTTTTAGTACATGCTACATTTAATAACTTTGTGAATTTAAGACTTTCTGCTCTGATTTTAGACTTTTTTAGGCCTTAATTTGTTTAAGGGTGACTTTTAAGACTTTTTAAGACCCACAGAAACCCTGAAATAGACACACACAAATACACACAAGCTCAACCATGTAGTCATCTTCTGTGTGTAAATGTACATTGTTGTTTGTTTGCATTTGATCATCAAACAGCAGAACCAAGTTCATGACATGGAAAGACTGATGAGTCTATTTTAAAGCATCCAGCCATCTCCTTGGCCTATCCTTCCTCCAACATTATGAATAAATCAACCAGGATATAAACGGTCATGGAGCTGAATTTCTTAGACATTCAATATTTTTTTTTACAACTGCATAATTCATAATGGCACTCACCATGCAAACAATATCGTATAAGCCACAGGAAAATGTACTCCATGTTCTAGTGGTGCCAAACCCTTTCTGAAGAACTGCTGAGGAATGCTGCATGGTCACATGCACACATACACACACAGAGGCCTTCCTCCCTTGACACGGATCCTTCATCTGGCCTTGCAAAGGCTTCCCGGGAGAAAAGGGTCTGGAGGGAGCTTAATGATTCATTAAACCTGAGTTGCTAGTGATTAAGAATCAAGGAGTGTTTTCTTTTTGAAGCTACTGATCGGAGGGCTGCGTAAAGATACATGGAGCAAATATTACAACTCTTCTGTGAAGCCCTAAAAGCCAAACAAGGATTCTGCATCTGTCAAAAAAAAGTTGAACTCTGAAAGAGGGATTAGACGTGTTACTCAAGACCAGTTAATAGTTGAATTAAATCTGACATGAATGTTGACAATTCAGATTAAGTCACCAGTCACATGGGCCATCCATATGCTGACAGGATCTGATCACTGCAAAATCACTGCAAGCCATTAGTTGTACATTTGCCCCATATCTGAATACTGATGTCATTAGCAAAACAGAAAATAGTGATTTCGTACAGGCGCATTTATGACAAAGGAATGATTCTTATGAGGCGATTCTTTCAACTGAATCAAACTTAATCACAGCGTCTACTCTTGAACTAAGTCACTGTTACTGAATTTCTGAATCAATTGTATACGTATATACATATATATATACATATATATATATATATATATATATATATATATATTTGTCAGTTTGGTACCCCTCACAAAGCTAGCATGATGACAAGATTTGCCTTGATTTTAAGGCATATCTAATTCTGTGTCATTTTCCTCTGTATGCCAGTTTCAAGACACAGCATCCTGAAATAACAACGAAAGTCATTAATAAAGACAAACACATATGGCATGATAAACTAACAGTGGCTTTGCCTTTCTGAAATAATAATACATCATACATCCTTGTCATAAGTTTCTTGGTAACAATTAGGGAAGCATTTTCTCTGTTCGCCCTCACAGAAATAATGTATTGCGATGGAAGGCCTCTTCCCACATGTCTCATTTATGTAACTCGTTCCCTAGGGTGTGTCTGTTTGTTTTGAGTTTATTGGGGAAACGTGACTAAATTACAGGGATTTGAAAAGCTTTTAAGTATTTGACTGAATCCACGGAATGAGTACTTAAACCTGGCTTGTAACCTAAGTGAAGTATGATAGGTTTGGCCCTTTGATCAATATATTGCATAATATATAAGTCAAATATTCAGAGGCTCCACCGAGCCTTGCCTAGCAGGCAATACATGTCCCGTCAATGAGAGCAAATACAATTGATCCATAACGCCGGCTCCTACAAGCTGTGCCTCTTAAGTGAAAAACGACTGCGCTCCCATGAGGTACTTGTAGAAATCCCTCTTTTAAAATGCTACGCTTTCTCCTCTTCCGCCGCCTTTTCTTTTCTCGCTCATTGATATTTTCCTATGACTTTAATTCCATTAACTATACAGTGTGAGCGCGCTGTCAGGAATGGTTTGAAACACAACGTCAAAATGTATTTGAGCCAACGTTGCACGACGAATGTCCAAATCAAAGCCTGTCGAACACAAAGGATCTGTGATGTATACAATGAATCGAGATGCTCCACCAGACATTGACACCGCTGCCTTGGCCTCCAATTACACAAGGACAAACAGATGGATTTATAGCCGTGCGCTGGCAGAACCAGGCAAAGAGCTGCTCAAGTCTTCAAAGCCCTTCCTTACTGAGCCTTTTCAAACACCATCTGTAGCACAGCAACTAAAAGTTACATAAAACAAGGACGTCGCTCTCCTTTCTCTGATTAGGCAGAAGCTACGGCGAAAATGTGTACGCTTTTTTTCCCTCATAATATATTTAGCGCACTAGTTTAATAAATGTTCCATACAGTTGGCACAGCCACTTAAAAGTGAGAGAATGAGAGACAATGGAGAGGTGCTTATGTTCAGACAGAGGAGAGAAGGCTTTCATTAACAGCCGAGCTTTTCTGAGCTTTCCCTTTTACCCCAGAGGACTCTCTCTCTCTCTCTCTCCTGTACGCAGTAAGTGTTGAGGACCAGAACAGTGGGCGTGCAGTAGAAAGCGCTTTGTCAGGCCGGCTATGGCGGTCTCTTGCCACTGTTTCTTGAGCGCTCGCTTTGTGTGTCACGGTTATTATTAAACTCAGCATTCTCCGGCTTCATGTGTGCTGAGCCGAGATAAGTACAGGTAGAAAGTTACATAAGGTAGGAGTGATTACCGGGAGAATAGTGCTGTTAACGGGCACATTGTAGCCGTAACTCTGTTCGGTTCATGATAAGCACTAAAAAGGAGCTAGCGGTGGCAGTGTCTCCGGTTTTAGCCCGGCCGCTCGCTTTGTTTAGGCAGCCTGTTATAGAAACGGCTGCAGGCTCATTATGGTAATGTCAGGGAAGAAAAAGTAAAAAAAAGGAAAAGAAAAAAGTAAAGCACAGTCAACATTAAGGCACCCATTTGCATTTTTTAACCGTTAACTGCGAGCTTTTTTCTGGACCCTAATTTTAGCGATTCTGCAGGCGTCTGATAGATCGTCAGCTGTTTGCTGAGTTGCAGCCTGAATGACATTGGTCAGCACTATTTCTACCCAAGTGAACCGAGATCCCATCACAATTTCATTAGTTGTGTTAGTGCACAATGCAGAAACCCTCTGGATTGAATCATACTACAGAGTCAGACTACCTACCCTACGGCTCTAAATTCAAATTACGGAACAGAACCAGAATTTAAAGGTTTTCTTAATTCAATTCCAAATGATACACGACCCTAACTTTATGACTTATGGCAAACGTAGTCTATGTGCATATATAATACTGTGCAGTATATAATAAAAAAAGTAAAGTAGTATGTTTGTATGATTTTCTAAATATAGCCATATCATAAGTTTGGTAGGACTTGACCTTTAACATCTGAGTCCATGTCTGGCAATGACTTCACAGGCAGCGTTTTGTGTATGGAGATGCCATCAAAAGAAACTGGTTTGAGATAGGCTTCCAAGCCACATCTAATGAGCTAAAACAACTTAAAAAAAAAAAACATTTATTAAAAAAATTAAGTTGTTTCTATTTATTCCACCAACCGTCAAACCGCACATTGTGGGATATGCGGAGGAAACGTCTCTGCTGCCTTCAAAAGCAATTAAGGCATTATGGTAGACAGGATGTTACCAGACATTGGATTTGGACATGTCTTGATGCCTTCCTCTCCCACATTTTGGACTCAGTCGGTGTTTGTGTTCATCCTAAACAAGCAAAAGCAAAGATAGCATATAGTTTATGTCAGATCCATCAGTTCATTCCTGCACGCTTAAACTGACAGACAGAAACAAAAAGTCGTCTAGTTTTGGATCAAAATTTTATGAAACGGAATGTGTAATCTCTTGTATTTTTAGATACTTGAGCTGTTGCATGTCAAATGTCTTCTAGACAAAGAGAGGAACCGAGAGAGGAGGTGTCATTCCCAGTTTCCTCTATCTGCTCCACTTTCGAAGGATTCTGCTTTGACCTCAACATCACTCCGCGGTGAGCACGAAGCTAACCGTGCATCCTAAACTCTCTGGAATAATGCATGCTTTTCGTTCCTCGAGCCTTTACTTCTGACGGTCTAATTAAAGAGAGCAGGTTTTAGGAAGGGAGAGGGAAAAGTGAAAAGCTGTCAGGAATGACTCACGCTGCGAGGGAAAGAAAGTAATACAGCCGCAGTCTGAATGAAAGCTCACTGCATTGAAAAGATTGTGTGCAAATATTTGTTTGCAGAACGGAACGTATCAAAAGACACTGATTTGAATAGACAATCAGGCAGCACAACAGAAAACATCAATACTAGCGGGTGACAGCTGAGAGTGAGAGGAGAACGAACTGACAATATAGAAAGCAGACACACACACTCGGCACTCGCACACAAATACGTGTTCATTGTATTATGCAAATTGCCCTCTTGGCAAATCGTCTCCACACGCACCTCCTCAGAGCAGAAGGATCGTCTCATTAAAAACCAACCCAACAAAAGACCTCCCAATATGCCGGGCTCTTTTAGATGCTACTTTCAGGTAGCGGTCAAAACCATTGCCTTGGAAACCACGGAAATGTCGCGGACAAGCTGCATACCATGAGGCGGCGTGTGGCCGTCAGCTGCCGCAAACCACACAGCGTGAGGTCGTCGCACACACGCGCTCAATTTCCACACCAGCGGGGCGACAGCATCAATATCGCCATACTCTCATGAAGAAAAGAAAACAAATTACACATCTGCCTAACAGCACCGGAATGCTGCCGGCCAATAGAATTTCCCCATTCCATTGCGCCTCATTTGCATAATGTGACACCAGCAATAGGATCCGTCACACAGGCTGCATATCACGATCATTTGTCGTTTTCAACGCCAAATCATTTTCGGTCTCTAAATATAGATATGAATCACTCTGAAAGAAGGTGTGCAAGACAGGAAGTGTGTGCATTTGTGTGTTTGGTGCATTAGAGTCATGTTGGAAAGATCGTATTTACTAGTTGAACACACATGAAGGCCAACACAAAGTCCTAATTATGAATGGCGATGGAATTATATGTTTTTATAGGTTTCTTTAAAGAAGTAGTTCACTTAAAAATAAAAATTTGCTCACGCTTAAGCCATCCAAGGTATACGTAGACGAGTTTCTCAGAACAGATTTGGAAAAACGTAGCATTACGTGCACTTGCTCACCAATGGATCTTCTGCAGTGAATGGGTGTCGTCAGAATGAGAGATCAAACAGCCGATGAAAACGTAAAAAATAATCCACAATTAATCAAAATTATTCCAGTATATGTATTCATATTTTGTGAAGTGAAAAGCTGCGTGTTTGTAATAAATTCATTAAGGCATTTTAATTGTAAAATGTTGCTTCTGTCCAAAATCCATAATAACGCTTCCTCCAGTGAAAAAGTTCATCCCCTGTTGTCCTCTCACATCAAATTCCACCTACATGTTTGTTTAGAACTGTTTTGGATTGTTTTCAAATGAGGCAACATTTTTCACTAATAACAGGAAGCAATGGTTTGAAGTTTTAATGATGGATTTGTTTCTTGCAAACACAGCTTTTCACTTCCCAAGACGTTAATTTATGGACTGGAATCATGTGGATTACTTGTGGATTATTGTGATGTTTTTAGCAGCTGTTTGGCCATTCATCACGGCACCCAACCATCCTGATCCATTGGTGAGCAAGTGATGTAATGCTAAATTTCTCCAAATTTGATCCAACGAAGAAATAAACTCATCTACATCTTGGATGGCCTGTAAATTTTCAGCAAATTTCCATTTTTGGGTGAACTATTCCTTTAAGCCAAGAGTTTCTGAGTTGGGGGCATGTCAGTGAAAAAAATATGTCGGATACAATGGACATAGCATCTGTTTTTAAAAGAAGAGAAAAATCTAGCTGAAATTTTTGTGGAAAAGGTGCATTACCATCTTGCTCCGACCAAAGCGACTTGAACACACTGGCATTGTAATTACAACTTTCCAACACGTAAATACGAACTTTCCAGGAGGACTTCAACGTACCATTAATGTTGCTGTTGCAGGCCGGATAAAGCCAGTAAGCGTATGGGTGTGTTGTTTCTGGTGTGCTGGCCCCACAGGTGGCTCGCGGGGTGTGGGCTTTATTCGCTTTGATAAGAGGATAGAAGCGGAGGAAGCCATCAAGGGTCTGAATGGACAGAAGCCCTCAGGTGCTGCCGAGCCCATTACGGTGAAGTTTGCCAACAACCCCAGCCAGAAGACAAGTCAGGCACTACTGTCACAGCTGTACCAATCCCCCAACCGCCGCTACCCTGGACCCCTCCACCACCAAGCGCAGAGGTTCAGGTGAATACAATCAGTCTACAATAATAATATGTATATTTTCTTACATAGCTTCCTTTGAAACTCACATCCAATTTGGTGGAATTGCAAGGCAAAATAGGTGTCTGGATTATGAAACTGTTAGAGCTCAAGTTGTGTGTCACGTCACCACTGAGGAATAGCTGCTCCCAAAAACCTGCAGAAACAAAATGATATTCAGAAAAGAAACCGATGCGAAGGACTGATAAGAGACAGTGGGGTTCTGTCATTCACAATGTCCCTCTGATTTCGTTTTCCTCATACGCCATCCTCCCCCTTCTTTCATTTCACATCTGTTCCTTTCATTTCAGTTCAGCAGGCCAGAATAACTTCACTCTGGCAGCTAACACCTTTACAGCCCTGGGCAACGCTTCTCAACCTTTTTAAAGGCAATGTGAAGTGAATTTTCTCTACCGTACCCCCACACTACGCATTTAGTTAGTCACAGGCAACAATAACAACAACTTTTTGATCCCGCCGTTGAATTGCAAGGTCTTTGCTTAAGATCTCCTTTCCTCGCAGGCCAATTCACATTAACTATGAGTCATGTCTTATGAGCTTACAGCTGGCAAAGCCTGCCAAAATACATGGTCATCTTGCAGTGAAATTTTATTGCTTAATAGCAGCAGATATAAATTCACAATCAAGCAGACATAGAATATAGTATCGATAGTGTTAGCTTTAGCCATTTAGCATAATTATACTTCGTGTTTTTGTGCTTTTAGGACATGAAGAACTTGGTTTCTTGGTTTAATCAAACTAGAATCAAAGCAGGTTGACATTTCAGTATATGCTTAGCTGAACTAGTGGATTTTTAAACCAATACTTACTTATACATGCAATTTACGTATGCAAACTTATTTTGAACATTGGCAACAGGGTATAATGTCATGTTCCAGGGCTCCTGTACTGAAAAAAAAAAAAACATTATGAATTGCACATAACTTTTGAGGTCAGAGTTCACCTAAAAATTAAATGCTTTTACACATCTCTGTTAACAATCGTATGAATGGAAGCATAACGGACTCTAGTATGCAGCTCATAAGAACCATTCAAAATATTTCATTATTCAGTTGTATCATAAATATAAAATACTTTGGATGAGTTACAGTCTATCTCCTCTAGACGCACGAACTGTCGGTGTGATGTTTACTTTAAAGCAAGAGATCTTTTGTTTAGACAAACAGGACTCGTCAAGCAATTAGCACTGCACAGCAATACTGATTACAGAAATCAGTAATTAATTCCTCATACATCACAAGCACTTATTATTGAAGAGATCTGAAAAGGATGAGTCCCATTTGCATGTATTAGTCGGCCGGACAAAGGCCTCATTGTGTTGTGTGTGTGTTTGGAGAGGAAGTGTGAAAAGCTGTAGGCCGGGCCAAGCGGGGTTGAGATACGCCTGCATATATCTAACACATCGCCTGCTCTTGCACCTCAGAGCCCTCTCTCTAATTAACTCATTTACCCACAAAGCAACCTGCTTCCCTAATTGGCTAATTGGCATCTTAATGACTCGACACTGAATGTCCTCGTTTAATTTTGGCTCAATTTTTTCTCCAAGTTCACAGAAGGCAGAGTCACCAACTGTTGACCCACTGCGGAGAGGGAGGGCCAGCATGTGTACGTGTGTGTTTGTCTGGAGAAGTTCAGTTTGAAATGTGAGAAAGCAGTAATTAGCCCTCTCGGCCATCTTGCAGTTTTAATAGGAAATGAGACAAGGCCGAGCCGAGTGAGGGACGGAGGTCACAGAGTAGCCAAACAGACAGGAGCCTAAAATAAGAATGACTGATGGGGAAGGAAAGCGTAATGCACCGGCCTGCTGGGTCACTGGGGCTAATAGAGAGAACGCACAAGAAAGAGACAGCAAGAGGAAGAAAGGGCACTCCCAGTTAATGCTGCATTACATCCTGCCTACAACTTCATTGAAATGTCATTTTATATTAAAGTTTTCAGGTAGGCTGAAGGATGGCCCCCAGACCAATTTCATCTAGCATATTACTAGCATATTACCTGCACATGTTCAGACACCAAGATTCATTCTTAATATACCATTCTGAGTATTTTTTATGATTCATTTATTTATCTTTTTGAGTTTTATTTTCAATTTGCTCATATCCTTCTTAATCATTCTTTAATTGTCACTATAGAAATACATTACAGTATTGCAATATACTCGAAATATACACATTCTGTTCTGGGCGAATTTAACCGAATTCTCCAATTTACTGTTATATATATATATATATACAGTATATATATATACAGTATCTCACAGAAGTGAGTACACCCCTCACATTTTTGTAAATATTTTATTATATCTTTTCATGTGACAACACTGAAGAAATTACACTTTACTACAATGTAAAGTAGTGAGTGTACAGCTTGTATAACAGTGTAAATTTGCTGTTGCCTCAAAATAACTCAACACATAGCCATTAATGTCTAAACCGCTGGCCACAAAAGTGAGTACACCCCTAATTTTCACTTAGGGGTGTACTCACTTTTGTGGCCAGCGGTTTAGACATTCATGGCTGAGTTGAGTTATTTTGAGGGGACAGCAAATTTACACTGTTATACAAGCTGTACACTCACTACTTTACATTGTAGCAAAGTGTCATTTCTTCAGTGTTGTCACATAAAAAGATATAATAAAATATTTACAAAAATATGAGGGGTGTACTCACTTCTGTGAGATACTGTATATATATATAATTAGAAAATATCCCACATTATTTAAAAAACACCTAAAATGTCTTAATTAGATAGATAGACAGACAGACAGACAGACAGGTCAAATGAAAAATATATGGCCCAATTTACCTGAATAAATTTAAGCTCCTGTTTTTGAGGGTGGCTTCCACTGGATCGCCGTCCAGCTCAGGGTTATTTACTGCAACTTTAAAATATAAAATATATTTATATATATTCATCATATTAGAAAATATAGCATACACAGATATAAATAAATACCAGTACATTAAAAATCATCCTTAATTTAATTATAGCTCCCCACATTGTTTGAAAAAAACAACAACAACAAAAAATATATATATATATATAATATATATTAATTGATCTAAATAATTAGAGTGTGCAAGTCAACCTATTGCAGTTTGTATTTGTATATATGTTACATAAATGATGTAGTGAATAATATTTTAGGACTGCAGCACTGTTAGGCTAAACAACTGAGTGGGCATTCAAGTGACCTACTGTTATCATTAGTGCTGCTGCAAGTCTGCTGTTCTTTGGATGTATGATTGACTCTGTGAGATGCCTGATGGGGCAGCACAGTGTAATGGCCCATCGCTAGATGGGCGTCTTCCTTCAGTGAGGCAGGGATGTAGCATTAGTTCCACTGAGTGAGTCAACCATCTGCCTGGCATTAACCCCAGAACCCTCCTTCTCTTTACAGGCTGGACAATTTGCTTAATATGGCCTATGGCGTTAAGAGGTAATTAAAACTTCACCGAATGCCAGATGTCCATGTTGACAGTATGATTTTTTTCCCCCTTCTTTTTGAAAATCACATGCATTCAGTTCAAGGTTTTTTTTCCCTTCTCTTTAGTTCTTTGGCTTCTTTCTACTTTTTTTTACTTGATTATTTTTTATTTCAACCTACCGATCTGTAGCCCTAAAAAGTGTAAGTATCTTTTATAATTTGTAGTGTTTGATTATGATGATTCTAAATTTTTTTATGAGTTCCGTTTTGGTATTTTGTGTTTTATTGTTGTGTAGCTCCTGTTTTGAAGCGTGGCTTCCACAGGATTCAGGGGCTGAAGCCGTACCTCCGTCCAGCTCAGGGTAACACACTGCCAACAACTGAACAAAATTATGTATATTCCCAATGCATTACATTTACAACAGCTAAAATGCATGGATCGATGGAAGGCTATTATGTTTTTCGTCTACTTGTTTCCATTTTATTTGTTGGAATGAGCTGGTCTAGAGCGAGACGGAGGGGGTGACAGCTGACCTGGATCCCTGCAGGAAATGTAGTGTTTCACTGCAGGTTTAGGAGCCTCTGATCAGTTGGGTTTGCTCATGTTCTTTTTGCTTTGTTCTGCTGTGGATGTAGTGAAAAGGCTTCTTTTGAACATGTTTTAGTGCTTATGACATTTTGTTGCATATTTTAGTGTCTATTGAAACACTTTGATGTCCCTCGAACACCAAACACTCAAGGCTAAGATTGAGGGAGTAGCATGAAAAGATGTGCATTCTGCACATTTCTTTTTTTCAGATACCTCTCCGTTAAGACTAAAGGCTCTGCATTTACTTCTCTTTAAGAATTGATTTCTTCTCTTTCTAGAAAAGTCCTTTGCGCTTCAGCGCTGGCTGATCAGAATGAACCAATCTGACGATTGTTGATAGAAAACATGCTTTTTTTGCAAAATATGACCGTTAACGGGAAGTGCAACAATAAAACAGGATATGCAAACGAAGCAGCGGTGTCTTTCAAAACAAATGACGAGATGAAAGATTCCTTTTTATTTACACTCACTGCGATCAACTGTCAAATAAGCTAGTCTGCCTCAAGAGAGAGAAAAATTAGGGGAGATGAAACCGACGGGGGGTTGGGGAGATGTTGTGCTCACAGAGCATGCCATAGAAGGTAATTAATAAACAAAGACCAGTCTGAAGAAGTGAGCATCGCTAGGTGAAGGTGGGCAGCTTGGAAGGGTGGGATGGCTCTAGGTCAGTCGCTTGTTGCTATGCAACTCCTCATCCAACTGTTCGCCTTAGTTCGAACAACAGACAGCGCTCGGCCCTGCCCTAGTAGTCACCAGACACCTCTGTGTCAGCAATACACTAGTCCGACCCTCGCCCGCTTATGACTGGCATCCAAATTACCACGAAGCCAAATTCGATGAATAATGGCTTTGGATTCATTATTTACACAGAAATACCAGCATAATTGAAGTCATGAGATGGTTGCTTGTCACAAGGCGCAAAGTGAGCCGACATACCCTTAATTTACATAATGAGACGCAAGCGACAGGACACAAAAGCGAAAGAGAGACAGATGTATTGACTCTGCCAGGACGAACGGGCTAAAACGCAGATGAAACGTCTGAGTAATTCTTGGCAGAACAAGAAGCAGAGAATTGGCCAGCCCTGTAGTCCGTGCAGTGCTATCGATCACAGTCACACACTGCGGAGCGGCAGAGGGTGTGGGTGGAATACTCTCTGTTCCCCGTGCTAGCTGGCTGGAAAGCGCTGCTTCCATTTTCTGCTCGCTGGCAGCTTCCTATCCCCCTCCCCAAATCTTTCGGATTCGAAGACGACGGCGGCAGCAAAGCGGAAATCTCAATTAAAGCACACCCAATAATGCCTATAGTCATTCCTTGAGAGGTGGGACACGAAATGAACCTTTTATCCAATTTACCTTTTATTTAAAGTGGAAATTTCCTTTAAGCGGAAAGGCAATTAAGTGAAATCAACTGAGCATTCAAATCTCTGTATCATGAGGGAGGGAAAAAAAAGGCAAGAATGGAAAGATTACAAGGAGAATGAGAGCAGATTTACTCAGTTGCATGCAAAATCTCTGATGAATTTCGAAGGTATTAATGTGCAGAGTTCCTGTAATTTAGTTCCCCAATAGATCCTGCGTCTCGGCACCCGTCGCTTCTGCTCAGCCCTTTCGCAGCCGGCACCGGTGCGCAGCCTTTTCACTCGGCATTCAAAAAACCCTCCGGTTGCCTTCTGCCTGAAAAACAACGAGCAGATATTTAGACTCCAGAGTGATAGACTGAAAAGTTTGTGGCGCTGAAATTGCTAGCGTAACCCTTGAAGAGTCAGTTAGAAGTTTGGCTAGTGGCAGCTTGACTTACGCATCTTCCTCACTCTCTCTCTCGTCCTGCAGGTTCTCCCCCATCACCATCGATAGCATGACCAGTCTAGTAGGGATGAATATCCCCGGTCACACAGGAACGGGCTGGTGCATCTTTGTCTACAACCTGTCTCCGGACTCGGATGAGAGCGTCCTGTGGCAGCTCTTTGGACCGTTCGGCGCTGTTAACAACGTCAAGGTGATCCGCGACTTCAACACCAACAAGTGCAAGGGGTTCGGTTTCGTCACCATGACGAACTACGACGAAGCGGCCATGGCCATCGCCAGTCTGAATGGATATCGGTTGGGTGACCGTGTCTTGCAAGTGTCTTTCAAGACCAGCAAGACCCACAAGTCCTGAACTCCCCTCCCATCACTTGTGTAGCTCCTTACAGCTCCTCTAATACTAAAAACCCACCTCTGCCCACTCAGCTACTCAAAACAGGAACACACCCGACCAACAAACCCACAAAAAAGAACTGGATATGGCTTATAATATAACTTTGGACCTATAAGCCAACGTTGCCTAAGTATTACAAAATGACAAATTGAGAATATTCATTATTTGGAGACCCTGGAAGTGGTACAGGGATTCTGTTGTATATCTTTTTGAGTTCTCGTGATTGTTTTTACTTTTTTCTTTTTTTTTTCTCTGTAAACAGTAGCAAAACCAGACCGCCCTTATTTTGAAGAAGAAAATGTCCTTCTTTAGATCGAACTTTCTTGGTGTCGATTCAGGATTTTTTCTTTCTTTTTTAAATCCGGATCCACTGTCGTTAGAATAACGCCTCCCTGGTAAGAGAACAGGAGGGAGCTCTTTTTAAAAAAAGAAGAAAAAAAAATCGTGATCATTCATTCATTTGTTTTGGTGTAAATTGTTAGAGATCCCCAAAATGTCATTCATCAAAAATGAATTGACAGGGATGAGGCCATCCCTTTTCTCTAATGCAGAAGATGTTTCTAGCATAGTTTTGGTTTTGTACTGGAAACAAAACACACGTCTGTCCTCACGGGGGATTCAGGGGGAAGGGGCGAGGGAAGGGACGGGCTAGCGCTCCTGATGACACGTTGCGTCAAAAAAAAAAAAACCTACACACACACACACACTGTTGCCAAAGAGAAAATCTCTTTGCTTGAAAATGCGTTTAGAAAAAATGAAAAAATAAAGAGAAAGAAGATCTATTTTTATAAATAATGATTAAAATAATTATTGAAGAATTTTTACAAGAATCTGGATTTGAAAAAAGAGAAAAATATTTTGACTGGCTAATTAGGGACGGGGGGAGGGGTCAGGTGCCACCTTGTCTTGTTCGTTCTGCCGTGGTACTTTTTAGGATCCAAGGTCGTTTGTTTTTCGGGGAGAACCGGATTGGCGATGGAAGAATTTTGTAGATGGAAGAATTTATCAAGGGATGCAAATTCAGGCAGGTAATTTTTCATAGCAGTAATTATTCAACAGCGATACCCAATAGGAGAGGGAGAGGGGTCTTCCCAGGCCAACCACATCTTCACAGTCAAGAGCCCAAAGCAAGGCCACTCATTGTCCACTCATTTACTTTAGATCATCTGTCTTTGGGATATAAGTAATAAAGATATACACACGCGCGCGCGTGCACACACACTTCTTTCTCCATTCGGATGACATAAACATGGTTATGTTTAATTCGCTATGATTTCGTGATATCGCATTCGAGATGTACTTCCTTTAGCAATCAACAGTAGGTGCTATATTACATGGTTCACATATCTTAAATATCCAACTTTGTTGTTCTTCGTGTTGTTTAGAGAGAAAAAAAAGAAAATTTCGATGTTGGCATTATATTAAGCTGCTGTTTTTCTTCTTTCGTTGACATTTATTCTTTCGAAATCGTCGTCGTAGGTCGCCTTCTGGTTTGGAGAAACCCCAGATAAACAAACTCGGGCGTCTATGACGATGTTCCTTTGGCTTGCTTACTTCTAGGTTATTTGCTGAGTGTACAGCGTTTGTCGAAATTCAGCGATAATTAGCTAGTTCTGTTAGTCTAGTATTTGTTTCCTCAAAGGATCTATTATGACTGTCTTTCTTTGTTGTGTACAAATTGATGATATATAGTCAACATTTTCTGTTCCAATATCTATATCTATCTGAGTTGTCACTGTTTTTCGTTCGGGATTGTCTTTTTTCATATGAAAACCTTATGAAGTGATGGTTCAGTTACTTAGAAAAACTCGTGAGGAAACCTGTTTAATATGTTGTCATGTCGCTTGTGAAGATAAAGAAAAAAATGCAAAAAAAATAACTGAAAAATTGGATCGATTTATTTGATTTAATGCCGCAGCAAAAGAAATCGAACAAAAAGCTTCTTGAGAAAAATCTGTATTTATTTATTGATCGATTGATTGTCTCATTGATTAAATTATTTATTTATCTCGATTTATTTATTTATTTACTTGTTCCTTTCTTATGTTGTCTGTGTTTTTGTGTGATTCTGGTACAGGGAGGGGGGATCTTTCTGAGCTAAAGGGAACAAATGACTAGGGGAGATGCTCTTCCATTAGTCCTGTGCACTGAGAAATTTTAGTACGTTTGTGCTTTGTACCAATATATCAAAATTACAATATAAAATATTTTAAAAGTCAAAAGCGAAAAAAATGTCAAGAGGGTTGGTGAGGCTCTTCCCTTATTAATAGAAACAGTTACTCGCTATGCATAACCTAGCCGATAGTTCAATTTGCTATTGCTTTTTTCTTGTCTTGTTAAACATAAATCTTTAAATCTTTTTCAATAAAGTTTAGTCTTAATAGAATGTTATAACAGTTGTTCTGGTTCAATATAACCTGTGATAAGTTTGTGTAGTTTTAAAAGCCACTTCCCGCCCTCCCTCCACACACTACCGTTGCTTTGTGATTAAACTTTATGCAAAAATGTGGGTCTGAAATGTAGTTTCTCATGGATCTCGACGACGTTCATGTCAGGCTTTGCTGCCCTAATTTGATTGATCGATATGTGTCCATTGTTTTAGTATGATTCATCAACTCATCTGAACTGTAACCTTCATTACAACCACATTGATACTCCAAAAAAAGGAGAAAAAAAAGCATCGACTCTGATTGTACTGGTTGAACAAAAATAGCTATAGCAGATCATATTTGATAGATGACACCTGTTATATATTTTCTAAGATATAGTCTATTTTAAGAGGTAAACTTCCTGAATGGAGAACTCGGCTCTTGTTAAGACCGGTGTGAATGCTGGAGAACGAAAAACAAAAGTCACGTTCATGAGCAGTCTTACATTCCTCCACCTCTAATGCCATCCATCCTCCTCTGCTCCGTCTCTAAGGGGGCGGCGCCGGTGGCGGCACAGCCCTTCTCAAACCCCGCTGCGGCTGGGAGTTTGAATTATGCAACGACCCCAGTAGAATGTTGTTTGATGTACAAACAAATTTCCTGCATTATGTCCTCCTCTTTTGGTTAATGGCATCACCCGCCGCGTGTCTGAGCGTGGATGACTGCATGGGAGAGCGTCTAGGACGCATGAAAGTTTGCGGGGGTGTTGGAAACACGGGGCCGTGCCTCTATAGTGCGTGCCCATATCGCAGTGTCTCTCCCCCTGTAGCGCCTTATAGTGGCAGCCTGCCAATAGGAACCCATCAGCCAGTAGTGTAGGAGGGAAGGCAAAGTGAGGAACAAGGCTCTTGTCATAATTCATTTTCTCCTGAAATGTGTTTGTTTACTATCTGAAAAATCTATAAATCTTTAAAGACAAAAAAAAAAAGGAAAAAAAAAAGGTTCACCGGACCAAGCTGGTCCCTCCTACTTACGTTATTACTTATCTATAGATTATTGATTATTGTTACTATGATTAATATTATTCTCATTATCCTTATTCTTATTACGAATCAAATTACTGCGATGAATGACTTCATGTTATCCTTGCTAGTTTAGGTCATTTCTGAAACTGGAAACAAAATATGGAAAAAATACTTGCTGTAAATGTTTTTTTCTTTTTCATAAAACTGTTGTGTTTGAATTATTTGTACTTTTGAATGTTGGGACAATAAAATGAGGTGTTGAAAGCTGGGTGCTGCCATGTCGTGTTCAAAAAAAGAGGTTTGCTCCTCACATAACACGAGCTGATTTACCTAATACCGACTAATCTTTAAAATATTCCCAGGAAATTTCATTTTCTCAAGGCCCCAGAGGCACCAAATGTCACTTGAGCTGCACCTTTTTGATAAGAATTTGATCAGTTATCCCAATGAGCGTGAATGCCAGCGTGATTACTCACACAAAAGTTGAGGTTCAGAAAGAGGCACGGAAACTTCCAGTAGGTTATTACATTAAGCATATCCCTCTCCTTGGCTGTAATACAAAACAGACAGGTGTGATGTAGTGAGACGTGAGAGCACAGCGCCCCCTGTATCATTCCTGTAGAATTACTGTAACTCTCTGCCATTCAAATACTACAAGCAGCCATGATTTAAAAAGTTTTTAATTAAAAAGGTTTGTTAAATAAATAAACTGTAGTATGGTATGATTAAATATGATTATATGAAACTGCATTATATAATTATATGAACAATATGATTAAAATGCTGCACACTCACATGAGAGGAAGAGTCCAGTCACATCAGTCTTCTTTAAAAATCTCTAGTCTCCTAGCATTAATAAAAACAATAATAAATAGTGTTATATAGTGCTTTCAGCTAGTGCTCAAGACATTTTTATAAAGTATATCTAAACAGAACAATCAACATATCAATCAAAAATCAGGCTAAATGAATGCAGGGACATCAAGCGTCAAATACCAAGTGTTTTGTAAATTTGCAGAATGCAGAATTACAATTCAAATGTAGCATTAAATGAACTGAATGTCATTTTTAACTAGAGAGCTTTCACACACTTTCAGCGATGGATTCACAAAGTCTTGTCTGAAAGTTTCTTAAAACCTTTTAAAGTATAAAGGTTTTATAAACCTTATAGACAGATATACAAACAGGTAACTGAAGCTGAAACTGAAGGAGAGACAAAGAAAATGTAATGAGTGTATCTTTAACTAAAAGTAAGCAAATCCATCATTAAATGATCACAGTTGAAACAGGTATATTCACCTAACAGCACTTGTCATTTCATAACTAGAAAAGGAAGATTCATCTAAACAAACTTTGAATGTCTTGTCTGTCTAAAGTCTTGTCTGAAAGTTAAAGATGTTCAAAAATTCTTGAAGTATAAATATTCTAGGCCTAGGCAGATAAACATATAAATAGATAAGCACTTAATTTCCCAGAAATCCATTACCTGTGCTAAATTAACTTCCTTTAATTCTTGTTAAACTTTCTGTGAGATCACACTTCAAATTCCAACTCAAAATAGTCCAAAAGAAAATGATAAACAGTTTTTGTAAAAAGCAGCAACAGTTAAACTTCACACACAGTTAAACTTTCCACCAGGCCATCAGGTGTCCGTACAAAGTCCAAAACGGCTAAGATGAAGAAGAGCCACATGAAGAAAACTTACTGAGTCCATAACTAAAAAGTAAGCAAATATATTTTTATTTCATTTATCATCCCTGAAACAAAAACTACAGCCATATTTACTTAACAAACAACATTTGTCATGACGGTCGGTATGACTGTATACGCGATTTGCCTGCAGTGGCATTTATAATTTTGAAATGTGGCGTAGGATTCATTAGAACAAATTAGTATGGATGTGGGTGCTCTGATTCACCCCATGGATGGTTGGCCTCGGTTTGTGGCCTGTGTCCTTGGGGTGGGCAGGGCTCAATGCTGAGCTGAAGGGCAAAATGGGCGAGGGGTGTGATAAAGCCATCAGGTCGTTCCAAGTCTCTTCACACCGTTAAGGATTTAATGAGGCATAAGCCCCGTTAAGGAAGAGAATCTGCATCATGAGTCATCGGCCTCCTCTTTAAAAATTCCTTTACTACCCACAGGCTCCTAACAAAGTCAGGGGATCTGATGCATCTGATATTGAATCTAACTGATG